CGAGGTCAGCCTATAGTTATCTTTGTTATAGATATTGCTGTCAACCAACAATGACTTTATTTGGTAGTGTTTCGGGCAACCTTGGAATGACTAAAGGTAATATTTCATTGTCTTAGCGAGCGAGCAAGTGAGCATTTTTGTACTGTATTTCATTAAGATCACTGCATTAATCCAAACAGTGCAGCGGGCATGGACTTGGTGCCGACAACATTAGAAACAGAATCAGAGCTGATCGGGATTCAACCCACGATTTTAGCTTTTGTGCACCCCTTTTGTGCACAACCTTGCATATCCAGTTACGGTTTCACTTGGCCACTGATTACAATTCACTCTATAAATTAATGTTCAGTGTTTGTCAGCAATATTCCATACCTTTTTCAAAGTAGCCCTCTATATAATTACACACTTAAGAGTGCTTATTTTATTAGTCTGTGTTTTTGAAGAGATGAAATTCGATGATGTTAAACTGTAAATAGTCGATTCCTGACCAGGAAAAATGTTGATCTATTCCAGCATGGTACTATAACACCAAAATTATTTATTTGCCAAATCATGAAATATACATAGCCTCAATTTATGACCTGCGAAGCTGATATTTCACTTGAAGGTTAGACGATCGACAGCTTTGTTGTACATGTACATGTATCCATGATGTAAAAGGTCTGACATTAATGCTCACCTAAACCAAGATAGTTTACCTTGTGTCGTATATGCTTGCACTTCCATTATTAACAGTGGTTTCGGGTCGTGCGTCACAATACACCAGCGTATTCCTTAAACAATTTATCAATAATGTAAAGTTCCCAATGATTCCATGAGAGAATAGCTGCATGTACAAACACTTTTGATGCGGAAACAATGAAGGTAATTACTTTCAACATTTTTACTCTTTTTGCGACAGTTTTTGCCAGCCTCTCAGTCTAATGATTATCTAGAGTTCACCGTATACGGTGAATGCTCATGCCATGCTTGAGGCCATGAACACAAAGGAAATCCCAAACTTAGGTCAGAGTTGCTTATATATAGCATAGGGGATTCTAACACATCGCAGCAATGCTTCTGTACTGTAGGTGTTTTTTGGCCCACTTATTTCAATAATGATTACTCAGCTTCAAATCAGAATAAGAATTGAAGTATAGGGTCGTATTTTTCACCAAAGTTCTTATCTCCCAAAATGTGCTGAGCTTCCACAATTACTTTGTGTCCAGGAACTACTCTGCACATTGTCCGAGTGCCCAAATGTGCCTTCGATGGCCGCCATATTGAGACCAACTTCTTTAAACATTTTCAAATCTTCAAACAATTTCCAAGGTTAACTTGACAGTGAAGTACAAAAAACACGTTGTGATAGTTGTGTAACATGTAAGTATTAGTCTGATAGATGAGGTAATAGTTTGACAGCTGATGTCAGAACACTATTTGTGTCGACCATTGACAGTTCCCATCACCAACTGTTCTGTGCAAAGCTTACAAAAGGCTATCGACCTGTATCTATCTTGCCAAACTTTATGAATAAGAACTTGTTTAGTTCGTGAGTGTAGCGTTTCGATACAGATTCTTGTACCGGAATAAGGAAGTGCTTATCCATAAAGTTTGATTATATTGTACTTTCAAGCTTCTAATATGCCACTCAAAGAAGGATATGTATCTACGTGGCATTTTGAACGGTTTATGTTTTGTGGTGCATTTGAAAACACACCGCTTAGCTTAGCTATAATGTCACCAAATTACCTGTGTTCCTGACAGTTTAAACAACGGGTTCCAATCCTTGTGAGTATTTTTCCCGAGACCCCAAATGATATTGTTAGATCCATGAATTTGAGCTTTGAAATAAATTGAAACCAAGTGAGAACACATAACTCCTATTCTCAAATCCTTACCCCTTCTTCCTATTGCATCTTGTATTGACTTTAAACTTCTCTAGGGATGTTCTCAAAGGCTAACCTAGTACTTGGTCGCATAAAGCGTGCAGTTGTATTTTAAAATATGGCATTGGGACAAACAGTTTTAAGGTGGGAATAGAACTTTATCACTAACACAGTTGTTGTGTTTGTCTGTCAATGGGGACTACCACTGGTTCAACCAAAATTAAACTGACAACTGTATTCACTCTACACTAATCATGGTGCTGTTACAATGGTGAGCGCGTTTGAAAATCTGTATGGCCATGTTGAGACATCGGATGTCATGCATTTTAGAAAACTACATCGATCTCTTTGAAGCTAAATTCCCTTACATTCCCAACAATATACCATCCATTCATCAATCCATCCATATTTTCATCCATGCATCCCAATCTAACTTCCGGAGAATAGCCACCGCCACATATCTGTATCGTTGACAACAGTCTCACAAATCACTACGTAATTTTTATCGAAAATTCAATCTAGTCATATTGAACCCGCTAATGAGCTAAAAAGATAATATGTTGTGTGGGTTTCCCTGACGTGCCTTTCTTTTTTTTCATTCTAATCCTTCAGTGCATCAAGGGGTTTAATTATCTTCCCTTTAACGCCATAACTTGCCTGAGGTTTCTCTTATAACGAGCGAAGCTCGCAAATACTGCTCGACTTTATTTTCTTTAACCGCAATTATCAACACAGGAATGTTTCGCCAGCCATTGTAAAGGATTTCCTGTCAAATACCTAAAGCGTGAGGTTCTGAATGCCAATATTATTGTTGTCAATTATTTCATGATTCAGAGATTAATTTCCATCAATTCTCCTATTACTGCTAGCCAAAGGCAAAGTGCCACTCAGTCGCCGTTGTTTTACGATAGATCCATCCGTGTGGTTTTCACCACCGATCAGCCTTTTGCGCCCTAGTGACATGATCGTGGGATCATCAATGACGTTATGCATTAATTATATTGTAATGTTCAATAATATTGAAGGAATAAACGTCTCTGGTTAACACTTCTGCCATGTTCCGGATATCCAGCACTCTCTTGCATTTTCTATGGTCAAGCTCGTTTTATAATGGTTTGTCTGGACCGGTGAAAACCTGGAATATTTGTGGCTGCGGTGTAAACTTATAAAAATAATTTTGGAAAACAATCATTGACAGAACACGTGTTGTATTTTTTTCCTGCAGCAAATTAATTCTTTTTCTCACGTTAAAACGTATAAAAAAGTATAGTACACCCAAATGTATCTGGCGTCAGATTCCACACTAAAGCACTGACTATCGGCCGTCCAATAATGACTTCTCAGTCAAACGTATCTATCATTAGTGTTGCACACAATATACATACTCTCTGTTTCTCTGGTCTATTGTACCAGGGGAAGCAAAAAACCTTCACCCAAAGACTAAGGCGTCATGATTCACTTTCATGATTGCTGAGATACCAAGCGTGTTTGAAATCGTAAGAATACAGTCATCGAAAGTATTGTTCTGAAAAGAAATGCGAGGCAAAAGAGGGTTTCAGAAACAGACGTAATTCAAGCTGTTTGAACTTTTAGCCTCCTTTGGTAAAGCCCTTGGTTCTTAGTTTGGAAACATTTTTATACCTTCCATGGTATACCATATATTGCAGTAGTCTAAATTATGGCCACTTCAAACGTGTGTGCTATCAACATTGTAAATCATTAGTGTTAGTATGGGGAGAAAAGATAGCGTGCCACGTGAATCTCGAGACATGTGTTGAACTGTTCACTTCAAGTACATTCTCGCCTGAATCTCTCATTACATATAGCTTACACATACCTTATAAACACACTACACCTGTTCAAGTATAGTAACAGAGGCAACAGTGTTTACTGACTATGTACGTAACTACACCTGTTCCAGTAAAGTAACAGAGGCAACAGTGTTTACTGACTATGTACGTCCACTTTCCACATCTGCTCAGCTGGACTGGATATTTTAGTCACACGAAATCAACGTCCTGTTTGTAAATAGTATGGCGACTGTCATGCAGCTGACTTCAAGATCTGCAGAACATGTGAAGGGTCGTAGGGCGTACACAAATATAGTTTTAAATGTATTAATGTTTTAGAATCACCATGTTAAAGTGTGAAGCTACAATCCCCATTATATTCTTTTCTGAGACAGAAAGTGAAACCTTTTTAGGTCGTCTTGACTGGACACAAACGTAAAATGAGATGTAGTGGATTCTAAGTGACCAAAAGGGTCCCAAGAACGATCACGTTACAGAACATAGCAACTAGTGAAATAACACGAAATTCCAGCCTTGTCCGGCAAGGGTCATGTACGTGAAGTCACTGTCTAGTATCTTGGACCCTCGAAACCTTCTTGACAACACGAAAGACAAAAACTAGATCCACAGATTGTGTGGCTGTTTAGCAGTTTTCACGTGATTCAAGAGACATATATCTTACTATGTTAGAGTCATATGATAACATCTAAATGCAATGAAGCTAAAGCTACCATTGGTCTATTATATAAGCAACACGGATGATATAACGTCCTGTGATGTTTAAAGCGCATTGTCATCTGTTATTAAAACATTGCATGTGATGTCCACAGTGCAATTATGCTTGCAAGATATTAATCAGTACATTATCTGGGTTATGCTATACACAATCACAGTATGTCACGAAAGTGCCCCCTTTCATGGAGTATTCCCTCAAGGAAAGTCTGAAGATTAGACGGTATTATGGGACAGCTTTCAGAGCATAATAGCTTTAGTCGTCTCTCTTTACACACAACATTAATTATATTTTGTTACAAAGAATCTGAGATTATACGCGCACTAACACATGCACGGGAAGGTCAGATACATGCAGAAGATGTGTGTCCCCATCCTTGAAACACCCGAGACGTAGTTACATATCTCTTGTAACTTAATTAACGTCTCCATATGTATATATACAAAAGAAGCCCCTGGAGGTCGAAATCACCAGATTTGACAGTAAATTCATTCCCAACCGCCATCATGCGGAAGGCGGAACGCTAAGCTAATGGGGTCCGCATTGACGTGACTTCACTGAAATACGTTCCGATTTCAAAGTGTTAAAATACGTTTTCCTCTGTTCCAGGTGCTTGTATAAAGTGTTACAGGTGTGACAACGAAAACAATGGGGCATGCGGAGAGGAATTTAAATCGTACCAGTTTACAGCCTACGAGTGTGTTGACAAAAGCATGAAATGCGGCAAACAGACCCAGCTGCCTCTAGAAGACGGTATAATGAAATAACTTCATTTAGTTTTTTATGAATATATATGGTCCAACTTATCCCTATTCCTTATCTGGTGTAAGTGTTGCTTCATAGTAAGGCCTATAAGGTGTGATTCGCTTCAGGTTTACAGATAGAATGTAAGATGATCACACACACAGACGGCAATACTGAGTGCATAATAGATCGATTGAGTAAATTGAGTTAAAATGTAAGAGTCATCGGCATTTTACATTTATGTTAGGAGAACAAAACGCATAATATTCAGTTTTGAACAATAAGATTAATTGTTTTATTAGCAGGACTGAAATGTTGTGAGTCATACAAAAATCAAAACACATGTTTGTGATTTCCTTCCAGGTTGGGTTGGTGTAATACGGAGCTGTTACCATCTCGGTTCCCTACCTGGGATCAACGAAACCAATGGCTGCCACTACTGGACTAACCCCATTGACAATTTTACTGCTCTCATGTGCTTTTGTGACACTGACATGTGTAATGTTGGCAGTATGCAGGGCCTTGCGTCAGAAGCAATTACCTTTACCTTTATATTAAGTGCAGTTATTCTCCTTATGCAAAGTTTCCTGTGGTCTTGAGAAATGAACATGATTGTCTCTTTTTTAATTACTGTCTATGTTAATATTTCTCAACCGATATCACAGGTGTAAGTATAGCTTGAGTCGTTCAAACTGATTTTAATTTCAACAGGAACCTTTCACACAAACTGAGTTCAAATATACGCACGTGTCTTCTTTAAGTATGGTGGGTTCTTTTTCAGAAAGACTGGGAGTGTAAAGAATTGTGTATCTGGGTGTGTAAACACTTGCAAACTTGCAGACAACGCAAATTTGCAAAAATACATTTGTAGAAACATCTGTAGATCTGAAATATTATTGAAAAAAAAACTACAAATAAAACTGAAAGTGGCACTTTTTTCATGAACCATCTCTGTAGTTTGCCTTGAACGTCTTGCTTAAATGTCATTGAGCTATCTCGAATCTAGGGGGCATTGCTCTCAGCTATTACCTTAAAGGTATTGAATTTCAATATAATGTGACATCAACCAATGGGTTACGTTTATTCTTAACATATATTTCTTACCCTTCCAGTAAAGATGTTGAGCGTTGGGTAGCCTATTGGTTGAAGAGTTCACTTCGAAGATCAGGGTTCCATTCAACACATTGGCACAATGCATAAAGCAATTGTTTCGTGTCCCCGCTCTGACATAGCTAGAATATTGGTAAAATGCCGTAATAGCATACTCTCTCACTGATTCACCTTGGTGATACAATTTTTTTGACTTTAGCATAGTAGTGTGTACATGTGAAACTATGTGATTATAAATCTCACTGCAAGCATCCTTGCCAGTTAATTATGATTTGTGAATAATAGTCTTTGCAATAAGCATGCTTCATTTTAATCTCACAAGAGTTGAGAACCATGTCTCCTGTGCAGATTTGTGTCAATGTCCAATGTGCTTAATTGAAAGGTGAAAGCAACACAACAGTACACAAGGTTAACGATAATTTGGCTAGACCTATGTAAGCACGTACAGAAAACGTAGAAATATTTTAAGCATGCTACTTTAACTATACTCATCCAAATTAAAAGCTTCACACCTCTTAAACTGAATCCCACAATTAAAATATCATGTGCATATTATGTATCATGGATGCATACACCATCCAGGTAATAATACAGAGGAGACTGAAAGCCAACTTTACATAAAGAACAGAAGACATCATTAACAAATGTGACTTCCTAGGACATCCGCGACGGCAAACACATCGTCACCTAATGGACAGGAGAATCTGCCTGAACACTTCAGCAAAAAGTCGTTGCCATTGGTTGCCTGCTCAAGTTCTTACAAGGCCTAGAGTCGATTCGTCTGCTTTTGCACTCGTCTTCCCAGCTGATTCCAAATGTGATCGATCGGGTTCAACTTTGGGGAACAGGACGGTCAGTGCATAACATCAACACTGGCGAATAAAATGAGTGTCACGTTTCTAATTTTTTGAATATATTACTTTCATTTAAAATCATAAGTAATGGCATTAATAAACGTGGAAATATTAGTTCAAGGAACTCGAACATCAGAAATCAACTTTAGCCAACGTTTCTATTGTATCACCGAAGTACCAAACTTAAGATGTGTTTTTTAAACTTGTATCATCGGGCGATTTTTTTTGTCTTGTTCAAACTCATCCATGCCATGTTAATTGTCTTGGCGCCATTTTGGTACTAATCAGGTATTTGGTATCATTATTTACCCGCCAAATGGCAGTTTTATTCCCACAAAGGTATGTTTTCTATTTTGAGTGTGATCACATTATATATTCTGGATGACGTACCTTGAGATATATTTACTTTTTTCGATTCCGGATGTATTTAAATGTGCTTCTATCATTTTTAATTGTTCCTGGGCGCATTTCCCTGTTCGTGGGATGCGATTTTGTCTCTACATTACATACGAGAATGTATAATATTCATAACGCTGCATCTCGTAACTTGCAACATAGTGGATAGTAGCATGAAGAATACACATACTAACAGAATGTAACAACTAGAAAACGAAGTCTCTACGTGTTCATATGTTCCCGTGAACATCCTTACAGTGGGGAATGACGTGAGGAGTTCTTTGAATGATTGTCGAGAGTACACTTGAGCAGATGATCAGCTGGCGTGTTCTGGCATGACGTTATATATGCTGATGTTCAGCAGTCGAAGTTACACATACTCAGAAAGGTTATGGTTTTGTTGGTGTCGCCTTATGCTGTCGCTAAGGATGACATGGTTCATATGAGAAGCATGACGTCTTTTATACATTTACATTTCATCTCGAGGAGTACTATATAACGCGCTGGTTATTAGGCATGTGGTCATTGTATACATGGTTACTCCCTGGGTGTGATTGCAATGCATGTTGTTACCAAATACAAGCAATCCAGTTCTACAAGCTGAAAAGTTGATAGTACATCACATGTACTAGAAATATTGATCTTGGCTCTATAGACTGCATATTTCCTCTTGGACGTTCTATTCATTGTGTTTCTAAGCGAATGAAAATTGACTTGAGTCAGTGTTTTTGAGAATCTTGTATTTAATTCAAACGGAGCTAGTTACCTTCAACTCGCACCACAAGTTCGGATATACGGGATGTATCAGTGAAACAGAAGTGGCAATATTGGTGCGATTTAAAGATTTGTCATGTTTTGTATGTCTATCACTATGTATGTATACACAAATTCTGTGAATCCATTTGATCGTCAGCATTTCATTTTAGTTCTCTATGTAAATGTTCTGCCTTAACATGCCCCCTCCGTTTGAAAAGAACTAGCCATATGAAGTAGCAAGCATCAGTCACGGTGCAAAGCACAATGTCAGTCTTCAGGTCCATTTAACTATTTCTGAAATTATTTTGTATGCTTTTTCTTATGATCATGGAAAACGTTTGGTCATTTTAATGAGACAAATTAGTGGATATCTCTCTATTGGAATGTTTTATTATTATGAACATTGGCAAAAGTAAATATAGTCATCATGTTATTTTTACACACGGGTGAATTTGCTAACGTATGTGTTAGTGTAGAAAAAACATAAAACCCTGAAAAATAGATTCAGTTTGGTTTTGAATAGTTTGAAGATGAAGCCAGAAATAGCAGACAAATAATCCTCTTGAGTAACTCTAAGTGACGAAACCTCTGCTTTGGATCACTTACGAGATTCTCAGACATGTGTTTTAAGGTAAAGTATTTATATCGTTGTATATAATCATGTCAACAGTTTTATAGTACCCCTAGCTCATTTGTATGTATCGGACAATCAACTTTTGTATGCATTGTGGTCCAACAGAAGAAGCCCTGGTTTTGTGAATTGTCGCCATTTGTAAATAAAGTGATAACCCTCATGTCGCTCGTGTTCCTCTTTGTCACAAAAAACAAAACTTGTTTTGACGAGTCTTGTGTTCAGTTGAGCCAATGATCATGTTAATTAGACCAGTAGACCAGGAACAACCGGTAGCGATCCCAAATTGACATTCATAATGTGAACCTCAGTTTCTCAGTGCACACTCTTGCTTCTAGATCTCATCAAATCTTCGACCATTGTCACTTTGATATTTGGCATCACGTTAGGATAAAGGAAATATTCCAGGTAAAAGAAATGCATCAAGTATATTTAACACGGCTCCTAAACAAGGTTCTGGTAAATGTTCCAGGGCCTTTGAATGGCATTTAGAAGTGATACACATGAGGAAGAGAATTTTTATGGATGTCAAGCTCTTTATCATGAGGAACACGACGTTTTGGAGTATATCCTTACTCCTTCATCAGGTGATTGAATGGTATGAGACAGATAGCATACATTTGTACATGCAAGAACAACAAAAGTAATAAGACAACAAAGATGCAGGCAAAACAATGGAACAAATAGAAGCCAGCACTTACCAGTTAATTAGCACTGAATAGACGCCAACACTAGGTAATTAGTGTTGAATAGAAGCCAACATTTAACAGTCAAGTAGTCTTGATAGGTGATGAACCGTGGACATCTAGAAGCCAATATCTGGAGAATGGACAAAGGGCAGATCGGAGGTAGTCTGCAATAGCACTAATAGAAAAAAAGCAATAGAGAACGAGATGGAGTGAGTGAGTTTAGTTTAACGCCGCACTCAGCAATATTCCAGCTATATGGCGGCAGTCTGTAAATAATCGAGTCTGGACCAGACAATCCAGTGATTAACAGCATGAGTATCGATCTGCACAATTTGGAACCGATGATATGTGTCAAACAAGCCAGCGAGCGTGACCACCCGATCCCGTTAGTCGTCTGTTACAAGCATGGGTTACTGAAGGTTCACTCTAACCCGGACCTTCACGGGTAGAACGAGATGGACAACTTGAGGCCAGTACAAACAGATGGTCCCAGAAGAAGATGATTAGCACAGACATTGATAACGCAATGGCTACAGACATCAAAGTAATAAGTCCCAGGCATTGGGCAAATGGGTTCCTTGGTCGCGGTTCATGGCTGGCTGGTGCCTCCTGATGTCAATGGCTTTGTCGCCAGTTGTTGTTGGCAGACAGAACTTTGGTCACTTCCCACTTGATGTGATGATCTTGGTTGGTAATGATGTGTTCAGGGATGGCGGATTTCAAGTCTAGTTTGTTGACAGAGGACATGTGTTCTTTGAGTCTGGTGTTAAGGAGTCTGAGGGTTTCTCCGATGTATTGGTGGCCACAGTTGCAGGGGATCTGGTAAATGCATCCTCTGGGGTTGGGTGTAGCGCTGCTGGGGCTTCTGCCGTTGGCTCGCAGAAGAATCTTGATGGTCTTCCCGCTACAGAAGGTGAAGTATATGTTTGCTTGGTTTTTCATGAGTCGAGAAAGCTGTTGACATCCATAAAATTTCTCTTCCGTAAAGTTTCAGGGGTTGATAATGTATGTTATCAACTCTTGAATCAGTATAATGAGCTTGGTCAAAAGCAATGCGCGCGGAGCTCATGAGTAGAACAGATTTCATCATAATCTTCACCATTATCTGAATTAGTGTTCCTGCAGTTGTATGTATTGTACACATTTCGTTGCCTTTATTTACATGCTAAGTATCAGTGTCAGCAAAATTCCCTGTTTCGTGGCCTTCTGTAAATAATAGTCACACATGGTGACAACCACTCAAGTCGAAGTCGAAGATCCTCCCCACTCCATTCCGATATTAGTCATTATTTACCACAAGCATTGACCAGTTCTCTCATCATTACATCGTTCTGAATGCTTGGGGAATTTTTATTGTTTTTTTCTGCCTTACGTCAGGAGTGGAATCTTAAGCGATGATAACACACGCA